ACATTTCATTACATGAACATGAACCCTATTAAGGACCTCTAACTTACATACAATAATTTTTCTATTTTTATATACATTTAATAATTTGAGTTGATACTCGTTTATAATTTAATTATTATGTTTACAGTTATAGAAAATATTATCAGCAAATTATGGAGGATGTGACAAGTCTTTGGCATGACGGGTTTTAATTCTTGGTTGTGAGTAGGCTGGGTTTCGAGTGAAAAAGTCTTAGTTGCAGGACATAAGGGTAAATTAGTACAGAAGTTTGTTGCTAATTTAGTTACCCAAGTTTTTAATGGTACAACGAAAAAGTTCTTGATGTATCTGTTCCTGACTATTGACCCAGGGAGCTTTTAATGTCCACCGGAGAAATTTATTTTGGTAGGAGCTGTACTTCACCATATTTGACAGGCATATGTAAGAGAGGGCAGGAAGAAGTATCTAAAGATGGATAATAACGTTTATTTGTTAATTGTAGAATTTGTATTTATCAGGGGATAGAATTTTAGAATTTTAATAAATGTATTGCTTGCTTTTTTTGAGACACGTTAATTTCTCCAATTTAATGTTTCCATGTTAATGTTTTGTCATTCTAAATAGTAATCCTAAATATAAATATTTGGCGGGGGTTTTAGATGGAATCCATTGTATTGCTTTATTGTTTAAAATTAAAGGGTATATTTGTTTTAGTGTGTTTAGTGATAATACGTTTGCTTGGAATTTATTAGAAATAATAATTATTTTCCATTTCTGAAATCATTTAGAAAGTGTGTTTACGCCAGCTTATAATTTCTCTCGACCTATTGTTGGGTCTTTATGTGAAGTAAAAAAAGCAGTATCATCCGCAAAGAAAGATTACTAAAAGTTGGGACATTAGAAATAAATATATCGAATAAAGTTGGTGAATGTTTAGACCACTAAGGGACTCCAGCCTGCATTGGGTAATTAGTAAATATTTTTGTATTAATTTGAACTCTAAAACTTCTACATGTGAGAAAACTTTTAATAATTTGTTGTAAATACAGAGGAAAGCCAATTTGTCGCATTTTGTATAGAAGACCGATATACCAGACACTTTCGGGTGCGTTTTCTAAATCAAGAAATAATATGAGAGTAGGTTTTGACTTTTTAAAATTTGATGCTATGTACTCTGTTAGTCTTAATAGTTGATGTGTGGTGGAATGATTGTTGCAGAAACCAAATTGTGTGTGATGAATTACGATATTTTGATAAATAAATTGATTTCATCTGGCTAAGATTGCTTTTTCAATGATATTTAATAAAGTAGGGAGGAGGCTTATAGGTCTACAATTTTCAGTTTTAGTATCATCTTTATTTGGTTTTAGAATGGGTAAAATTAAGGTTTTCTAGGATTTAGGGAAGTAGTTCATTCGTAGGCAAGAATCGTATATTGAAGTTTGTGAGCTTATTACTTTTTGGATTAAATTTTTAAATATAATATTAGAGATCTTATCAATTCCTGAGATTTTTTTAATTTTTAAGTTTCTTATTAAGAAACTGAATTTACGATGTAAAAATAAATTTTATTCTTTCTGGAACTCTATAAAGAGGTTTGTTTAAAGCTTGTGAAATATAATTAGAAAACGAATAATTTAAAGAAGAGGTATTAGAGAAAGTAACTTTAAAGTATGTTGCTAAGTCTCCTGCTTTTTCTTCATCAGTGGTAGCTACTCTATTTACTCCAAGTAAATGTATTTACGATTTTATTGTTTTTTCTTTTCTCATACTACAGGTTATGAAAGATTACAAACAATGAAAGAAAGACAGGTGTCTAGACGTCCTATACTATATGACCACGTCTTCACACGTGATCTAATGCAAATACGCTAAAATGCTGTTAAATAGTTGCTGTTTCCTGTTGTGTGGTAAATCATATTAGGTTTTTAATGAAGTTAAAGATATAAATACACTATTAATTTATGTGTCTCTTGACCTTTTGTGCCAATGCTCAAGCCAATTCGTTTAGCTATCTTACATTTGTATCAAATATCATATAGTTTCTGTATCTGGAGCTATCTTCACTGTAACCAAAACGTTAAATCCAATAGAAGTCGCTAATGACCAAGATGTTGATGCGACCTTAAATATCAAAACAATAACATTAGATCCACGTTAAGCAAGTTACAAATTAGGCACTATCAACGAACTATAAAAATGATGAACCTTACGGGAGAGGAAAAGAGATTCCTAAAACCTGAGTGACCGCTAAATTAAAGTACGGAAGCAACCAATAAATCTTAATTGTCTCAGACAAAATGTAAATTGTAATTACTTGTGAGAAACCTTATTAATTACATGAGAAAAATGAATGGTTGAAATTATTGTATATTGTCCTTTATTAAAAATAACAAAAAGTATTATTACAGCAAGGAGACCACAAAAAGAATATTTTAATGCAGATTAAAATCTAAATATATTACATGAGCTGTATTCAAGATTTCATTTACAAAGAAACATGCAAATTTCTGTCTAAACTGAAATTCTTCTTCATTTAAGGGACACACATGCAAAACAATACAACTAGTTAAATCCCCCACTGTATCTCATTCATTAAATTAAAGCCGCCTGCCCTCAATTGAGAAGGCAGCCAACTGGCCACACGGCCACCCTCGCCCAAAAGCCTAGGCCCCGTCCCTCCTGGCAGTGCGAGCGCGCGGGGGTGGGGCACGGCCCCCTGGAGACGGCTGCAGGACGCCCGCGCTCTCTGTTGCAGTGGGGCCCCCCGAGGGCTTGCAGCGTCTGCCCGTGCTGGTGTTCGTGCACGGCGAGTCGTACGAGTGGAACGCGGGCAACCCGTACGACGGCTCGGTGCTGGCCAGCTACGCCTCGCTCGTGGTCGTCACCATCAACTACCGCCTCGGCATCCTCGGTGAGTAGTGACTTGCACCTACAACAGCAATCACACGTCATTATGAAGTGCATACTCTTACAGGCAACAATCTACAACTTCTGAATAGGCATCCTCGGTGAGTGTTCGCTTCCGGTAGCGGAAGCTCATGCTTTTCTTTATTAAATGCATAAAATTGCAATTAAAAATCTACAAACACTGCCTCGGCACCCTCTGTGAGTACTCGCTTCCATCAGCGAAAGCAATTTTTTGTTCTTTCTGCTTAAATGTTTACAATGAACAATTAAATATCTACACAAACTACCTCGACATTCTCAGTGAGTATTTATTTATAGAAATAGAAGCAATTACAACCTATCCCCGCAATTATAAAACAATCTCTATCGAATAAGTACCGTCAGTGAGCCCTTGGCAATCTTTACATGAAACCAATTCCGCACAATTTTTACATATACAGTTAAAAACAAGACCTGTGAACTGGGCATCTATGGCGAGTACAATAGACTCTACTACCAAATGAAAGACAGAAAGTATTCCCCGATATCAAAATAAATTATATTATTAAAAATCAATAACTAACGTTTTGGAATGCTTGGTACGAACAGCTGGCACTTCTAAGATCTGTTCAGCCTTGAATTATCCTGATGTAAACGAATAGTACACGTGTTTAATACAGCCTCTTCTTAGCCGTTGCTTGGATTTCCGGATGTGTACGTGTAACATTTCGTTTCTGAAAATAGATTTTGTCAAAATTATAATTTTCTTTGTTTTAATGCAAGTTTAAAAATATAAGAAGAGATTTAGAGAAAGAAAAACAATTGTAGAATACAGATAATGATTACTGGAGGCTCTAAATAGGGCCAGTATTTTGAAATACGCCGAAGGCAAAGATGTCGCGTAATGGCAACTAAGAAACCTTACTGTTCGCCGTTGACGGTTTTATCGGCACACGGTTTTATCGGCACGTTTTATCGGTTGACACACAACAAAAGTTCAAACTGTATCCAGCGTTCGTTGGACTCCGCGGGCAATAGAGCAGACAGTTCTCCTCGATTAGTGCGGCAAGATCATCTTAGCATTTTTTAATAATTTTAATTTTTGTGCGCACCTTATCATTTTATTATGGCGGGTGGTGAGGCAGTCATGTCTTTTATAAAACATATGAGAGGTATCGCATTAATACGGGTTAAATATGTACTTTTAAGTGTTTTCTCGTGTGGCTGAAGAAAATCCCTCATTGTCCGTTAAACATATTTACGAACGCACATCAACGGAAGTGTCTTCATGAAGTGTAATGAATGCATACAGAGGTATAAGTACACACAGAAAACGTATCTCACCACGAAAATAAACCATTTTGGTGTTGAACCATTCAGGAAGCGTCTTCAATGAATGGGAGTGGCGATTGTAAAATGGGACGCGTGTGTCACTGCTAGAAATCGGCGTTTTATTCTTATCGCAGGCAGGACTGCTGTGACCGCATACGCCACTGACAGTTCGTATAAACGCGTACCACTAAAGAAGAACCTGGAGCAGACGACTAATGAGGTTAGTATACACGAATGAATACCACGTTCTTTTTTTACATCAGGATCAATCTTAGGATGAACGAAGATTACAAGTTCAATTAGATCAACTAGTATTTCCACAATAATTAAAAAATTCGCTACAAGTGTACATCAACCAACAGCTCGCACATTGTCGCTTGTATCAGTGAGTACGAATGTCGAAATTCATAACATTCCATATTTCATACTCTTAAACTAAGCGTTCTTCCCGGTAACCTGTAGAGAGAAATTTACAGTAGGTTTCTAGACAATATACATATTTTAAAAACGTTTGTTCATACAGTATAATATTCACAACTAGTCATTATTTTCATGTATCTTTCGTTCATATATTCTAACGCTCATATTTTGCCAAATAGAAATTAAGTCATTGAAGTAATAATACTCCAATTTCAAAACCCGAATTTACCCACTTATTAAATACATTTTTTAAATTCATATTAGTTTGACATTCTGTTGGCCTATTCTTGTATATAAAACAAAAGTGAAATAATAATAGTAATAATAATAATAATAATAATAATAATAATATAATATAATAATAATAATAATACTAATAATAAAAACTATTATATATAAATTTAATTTTATTGTGTTCTTATATGTAAATTGGATTTTAATATGTTCTCATCAACACAAGGTGTCAATTGTTTGTAATACATCTTGAATCTGAATTCCGATCTATTATGTAATGTCCAACATTGTTGAGAAAGTTAATAAATAATAATGCGTTATTAAAGTGATTTTAAAGGACTATTTTTTCATGAAACTAGTAAAAAGCATGTGCTTATTTTAAAATTAGGTGTTGCTCAACATTGAATATGTTCTTTGAACAAGAAGTCTTGCATTTTAAAAATATTTTTTATCTCTTGTTTTTATCATTCTAAGTCTTTTCCTTATAATGAGGATGAAACTTATTACTCTTTTTAATGAACCGTTTCCTACATTTTTGCGCAATAATAAAGTACTAACTCATTTGTGGGAGAAAATGCTCGGAAATTTATGTTCGCTACAAGAATGGCAAACTCCTCAAATCCTTTACTAGAAGCAATTCATACTTTTCCTCTTTGTAAGGAAATTTGCAACATCTGATAATGAAGGAACAAAGGTTTTTCCGTAAAAAATGAACGTTCTTATATAAGACTACAAACAAGGCATGTTAAGTAAATTGAAAATACCTTCCAGGAAATAACATCAAAAGAATAGTTTCAAGAATGTCTTTCTATAATAATACCTGGAATTCTCCTACAAACTAGCACTTAATGTAATACAAATTCCATGGCAAAGCATTATTTATCAAATTGTAATGAACAAGCCTTGACGTCAATCATAATACGTGTGTCCGTGACATGTACTATATTAAATATCCCTTCCAACATAAATTATTTCCGAGACAATATTCTAGTGTCGTAACCAAATAAACGACCGTACCTTAGACTTTAGTAGACATCAGAAGCCCTTGGTAAATTTTAACAAATTCACGTTATGAAATCTATTCTGAAAATTTAATTGGGAATAGTCCATCAATTGAAAAATATTTGTCTAAATTTCAAAAAGTAAAATCACAACCTGTTTGCATTTGTAGATGCGTCACAGTATTAGAGCATCAAACTTTTACTGTTGAGTTAAAATCTTCAATGGATTATGAGTGCTAAAACGTGATGCTACTTTGGTCCTAGTAATTTCCAAGGTTAAAAAAATAGCATCAATAAAAGTCGAAAAGGGAAGCAGCGTAGTTCCATTGCAGTTTTTCAATGTCAAAAAGCTTTTTTGGCTGCATTGAGGCGATCTTCACTTTATCTTTCTATTTAAAAACGAAACATGCGATTTGAATTTAGCTCAGAGGCTTCATTTAGGTTTGAGGATCTTTTACAATCAGTAAATCTACTAACATTGGACAGCCGGCTTTACTTCTCCTCCAAAGCAAGGTGTACGAAGGATTTTCTCGCCCTTACAAATCCCCGGCTTCGATCGGGTTTGAACCCTCGAACTTGGTACAACAGACCGATCGCAATCGCCGCACATGTGCGCGTATCCGCCGCAAAAATAAACCCAATACACTACACGATTGTTGCTTAATGAGAAAAATATCACAAAACTAATATTACGTTCGTTAGACAATATTTAGCATATTCAAAACACAAGTTCAGGGAGACCACACCGCAATATTCGATTATTCAACTAAATGAATTCAAATGAAATATAGAAATTCTCTTCAATTATGTCGCACCAAAGTTTTTGTCTCTACAGTCACATCAGTACCTTTGGTTACCTCAAAACTTACTTTTTGCACTTGGTCCACGATTTATAATTCAATATTTTTGAAACTTTCTAGAAACTACCTGGCAAACTGAACTATTACTCGCATTAAATGATTCAATGCACGTTTACTCTTGCTTTTGGCTTGGAAACGAGCTGAGGACTGACCTGAAAAGACCAAATAGTTTATGAAGCATTCATAAAAACGTTTTGTGGGCCGAGAAATCGAAAGAAATGAGCTTGAGCTTTCGGTGATATAGTACAATTATGTCTAAATACAAAAATAAGTACTTTTCATTATGTACTGTTATGCATTTAGTTATCATTCGGGTCAAATTTGGGTTAATTCCAATGTTTCAAGTCCTCTTGAAAATTGTATATTAAGTTAAATACTATTCTCTGGTTGCAATGCATGGTATTACAATTAATAATTTAAACACACGCACATAATGTAGATGCGGTAGTTTACATTTCCTTGCTGTGGTCCAAGTATCAAAGATTAAGAGTCCAAAAACTTAAATCATAGTATTGTACTTGCTGGATTACGCTACATAGAGGAATTGATGTAATGCTGCAAAATATCGATAAGATGTTAACGAAAAAACGCAATGTGTATTCCTGATACCGAAAATGTATGTTTGACATTGGATCGTCTGTCTGTGTGATTCACTCCCAAACCGTATAGATATTCTCCCAAAATAGGCATTATCCGAACGATATAGACGAACGAGTTTCTGAGGGATATTTTAATTTTGGGAGATACTTCATGTCAAGAGTGAAGTACATTTCCCAAATGTTCACATAAAAAACTTCAAACTCTATCTTTAAATATTTTGCTAAAGTGGAGAAAAGTTTGCTTATAATTGCGGTTCAAAATATATTTTATTAACACCCTAGCGTTTTGGAAATGGCAGCTGTTCAAATTTGTTTTGAATCTGTATTTTACTTTTAATATTGAAGCCAATTATTATTTTCTTAAAACAATTTCTAAGTATTAGACCATTACATCATTTTATAAACATTTTTAATGTTATATTTTTTGCGTAATTTTGATTTAAATCATGAGAATTTTGCACAAATATTTAAATAAGACCTTTTCAGTAATTGATTTAATTTTGAATTTTAAACTTAATGTACAGAGAGACCACAATACATTGAATTATTTTATATGTCATTTTCATTAATACGTTTGAATATAAAAAAAACAAAAATACATTTTTGGGTGCACATGGGAATCGAAGATGCTCAAAGATCGTTGCAGAATAAGAATAAACATAAAAGCAGAAACCTATGAGGTCGCGTTCAATTCTTCGCAAAATGATGGGTTAGAAACCCCTGAAGAGACATACGTATGATAGGTAAATGGGACAATGTCCGAATAAAGTAACATGTATACTCGCCACGAAAATGTAGGCAATCATATTCAAATGTTTATATTTTTAGCTTGTTTAACTCATATATTACGTAACCGTTACAAACATGGGGATTGTGTAACGGTTAGCATATCGGACTGTTATACCCAAGTTGGTGGGGTTCCAACCCGATCAAAGCTATGGATTTTTAATCCTTCGAAAGGGAAGTAAAGCCGGCTGTCCTACGTTAGTAGATATACTGCATTTAAAAGATCCTCAAACCTAAATGAAGCCTCTGAGCTAAATTCAAATCGCATGTTCCGTCGCCCAAGAAATACCTCTTTTCTCCGCTAGTGGGTGAAACGAGAGTAGCGAAATTTGCGTGGTCAGACGGAAGAGTGGGTCAGATGGCCTAAGTCTCGCCTCGTACAATAAGGCATCAATTCAATATTACGAGAAACTATGCTATTGTACCGCCACTAGTTTTTCCTTGCAGAAATCCACCTAATTCTGATAAATAACTCATTAATAAATTATACATCAATATCAAAAACATATTGTCAATTAGTGAATAGAATGACAACATTGATAGTTTTTCCTTCATTTGCATTCACTATTCCCTTCGCCAACTTAGTTCATCACATTTCTTTTCTCCTACTATATCCATTAATACATTTTATTCTCTCTTCAGCAAGTAAATCGATTTGTTCTGATGCATGGGAGAGGCCGAATTCATTCCAACGTGTGAGCGCCTGGGAGTTCATTAATTGAATAAAGAGAATAATCGGCTTACTCCAGTCAGTATGTTTTAGTCCTACCTTCTCGGGAATATGAAGTTGATTAACGTATTCACGGGAACGAAGTGTGAACACAGATGAGTAAATAGCCACCCGAAAAGCGCTTGGACAAAGTAAGCCTTGTTTACAGGAGTTTCTCTTCGGAGAATTTCATCCAAATTTCTGTCCGTCCTCTGGAAGCAGATAGTGAGAACAAATGTGACAAAATATTCAGATTTTATTGATTTGAATTACAGTATTATTTTCAATAGAAAATAACTTTCTCTTATCCACTGCAAACTACGGTGTTTCATTTATTGATAAATAAACACGATTTGTATCTCTTTCGTACCAAAGAAGTGGAATTTTCATGGTTGTATAGGTTGTATAGAAAATTACTTTATCGTTTACATTCTCGTAATCAGAATCTACTTTTTGTGCGTCCTTGGTACCGAAAAAATGTTTCTTTCTTGTTCAAATAAAGTCGTGCCCTTGAAAACAATGATTAAATTTGTTTGACTCCCTCCTACAACTAAATAATTGAAGAGGTTTGGTGAACCTACTTCAAAATGAGATTTGTAATTAATTCGTACACAATTATTTTCAAAATGCGAATAATTTTAGCATAATTTTTAATTATATCGTGACAATTAGAAATTAGAGGTGCTACAGAATGGTACAGACATTCTCTTTGAAATAATATGTATACTATAAAATAATTATGACTTGTCATTGTCAACAATATTGTTTATTATACGAGCAGCTTTCGATGGCTTAGCCATCATCATCAGTTTTCTGCTGAATGGAAGGTAGAAAACTACAAGTAGTCGTAACAATATTGTTGGCAATAACGACTCATAATTATTTCATTGTAAATGCCAACGAAACCTCACCACAATACTTTTTTTTCACACTAGTTACTTTCCTGTTTTCGTAAGCCAGTTTACCTCCCTACCCTCCCCTTTCCAAGCTGCTATTTATTTCTACCTGCCAGGTCCGTCAGAGATGCCAGGTCCTCTTTCGGTACCAACACCTACTCTGGAGATATTCTTTGTGAAGAGCTCCTTGACGCTAAGGCCGAATACAGCCAAGGCCTAACTCACACATTTGCCCATGGTGTTGCAAGGCCCCATCTTGTTGATTGCACTATTGTTCTCGGAGTAGAGATCCAGTTTCTCAAGAATCAATTTAATGCATTTTATATAGCGAAGGTGCTTACTAAACTAACAGTATATACTAAACTTACAATCTATACATATATTTACATAAGTTTACGTATATACATATTTACATTGGTTAATAGTCTTAAAAATATAAATAATAATAATAATAATAATAATAATAATAATAATAATAATTTTAAAACAAATGTTACTAAAAATAAGAATATCAACAAAAGACAAACAACAAAAATTAAGAATACACCAACACACAAAACATAGTCACTAAATTTAAATTGACTTTGAGTTGGACCCTTGGATCCTACTAATTAAAGATCTTCACATATTGCACACACAGAGTCCTGCCCGAGTAGCCGAGAGATGGAAGGATGAGGCTATTTACGTAAAACAGGGAGGACTTGGAATACCTCCACGCCACGAACACATCTTAAAACATTGCCCTGGTTTCGATTGTTTGATTGGTTTGAGGTTTTAGGCGCGTTAACGGACAAGGTCATTAGTGTATGCTTTTTCCTCCGGAGGTAACGGTGATCTTCCTCAGCTGGATGGCGAGATCCGGCGCTGACCTGTTTGTGGTTTTCCCCAACCAGGTATCTTCCACTAGCGGGGCACCGCACCAGCCAGGACACGCTCTAAGCTCACGATTGGTGTCCCGGTATGTGTGGTGGTGTAATGCATGCAAGTGTATGTAAGTAAGGAATGAGGAGACGGCAAGGAAGGAGAAGGAAAGACCGCGCACGGCACATTGCCTGTTTGTTAGAGCACTGTTCCGGTATTCGTCTGAAGTCGATTGGAGAAACCACGGAAAAATACCGATCAGAGCAGCCGGTGCTAGAATTCTCCTTTAGACAGCACCTGAACTCGATCTACCTGTGTGGCTAGTGACGAAAATCCTGCCATCATCGGGCTCTGCGGAGACATCAGTTGATGCCCTGACCTACATCTCCAGGTATGAGCGTTTCAAACACACAAGTCTAGTCACAGCACATTTGTGTTTACTCTACTCAAGCCCTGTCTCACGAGTCCGAATTCCTTGTACGTCCTAACTGCAAATGTTATGTAGTGAGCAAACATTCGCAAAGTTCATAAAACAGTATTTTATTCACAATTCAACTGTCACAAGAAGACATACAATAGTTTTCTGAAATTCCAGTAGATATACCGTAGACTCTCTTGGATGGTAGTTTTGTATTACCAATTGAGCTAGCAGCACATGTATAAGAGTTCTTCATATATGCTCAGGTGTTACAGTAGTCTAACTAGAAAATTAAATGAATGAATCGCGCCACTCAATAAAAAACACCATTTCCTCAACAGATAGAAAATTAATACACACATTTATTTTCTTTTGAATTTTATGCTGCATATTTTACTGCATGTTTAAAAGATTGGTCGTGCATATTATGCGGAATATTTTCTGCATTTTTCTACATAGAAATCCGGGCTCTAGTTATAAACCTTGATTATCGCTTCGATTCACAGCCTGCATCCGTATCCTCTTTTGCCTCCATATAGATCTCGTAATTTTATTAACACTTTTCGGATTTTCGTCATAGTCCAGAAGGAAAAGAACGTCGAGGTGTTATGGTTTATAATTTCATAAGTGAAAGAATATTTACGGAAGTTAGAGCGCTCGATAGCATAGTGTTAGTCTGGTGAGTGTTGCAGGAATATTTCAGGAAGTTCAGAAATTACGAGGTTTAATTTTATTTAAAATGAGCTTTTTCCCTAACCAATTATAATGGTTCTGGTGTAAAAGTAGGTTAAATGAGGTGGTGTCTATTGTGTATTGTCAGGAAAGTGACCGGTGAAGGTTTGTTTAAAATTCCGCGCCCGCGAAGTTGTCGGGACTACATCACTTGTCTGATGATTGTGTGTCTTGATGTGACGATCTCACTGACTCGAAATGGTCTGCAGGGAGTTAGTGTTTTGAGAATGTATAGGCTGCGAAATACTTGTAAGATAGATTGGGAGAGCAATTAATAGAAGCTGCAACGAAACGTCGCCTCTTCTATCGATATTCAGACAAGAGTGTTCTGGAAAAGAAACAACACACAATTGACAAAATATTGTCACTTAGAGAAAAAATCAACGAATATTGACGATATTATCACTGTTACCTCTGTCCAGACGAAATCAAACGTTTCTTTACAAATTTCGTCGTTTTTACTTCACGTTACGACGACATTCAGTACCTGCCACATCCTCAATCGAACATTGAAAGCGTCCAACAGGTTTTTACAAATCTTTCTGCAATTAGCCTCTGATGACAATGCGAGCTTGTGGCTTGACAATGTCACACATATTTTCGCACGAGGAGCTGCCAGGAGCTGATGCGAGCTTCCGGTGACGCTCCGAAGGAACAGGAAGCTGTTGACAATCTACGTCAAGGAACTTTGTACGAAAGAAGTGAGTATTTGGTCAACCGGGAAGAAATTCGCATGAAAAGTTTGAAATGTATGATCCTTTCCTCTGAAACGCCTTCAAATAACATCAAAAGTGCTTTATTTGAAACTAGGCGCCAAATTTGAAACAGTTTGGCGGTCAATGTGCCAACAGAGGAGAAATGAAAGGAACACGGGGAGTTAACAGTTAAATTCGGATGATTATTACGTGTACGGTCGGGATGTGAGAAAGGAGAATTTAAGTATTTTTTTTCTGATACATATTTCTGTTCTACAGCCGAATGAAGGTCTGTATGTCCAGTGTCTGGGAAATGAAAAAATAGAAAGATTTGTTTTTGTGATAGTATTACCCCGCCGCACACCGGTCTCAATTGACGAAAACCTTCCCAAAATATGAATTTTTGATATGATTTTGTGAGTTAAGGTTTGAAACGTCGCTAATTGAGAATATAGAATTACATTATTGGAAAACAAAGTAGCGGATCCAATATGCTGCGCCAAAATTGCTAAAAACATGTAGTATATTGATATGAGTTGATGGGGGGGTTAATGTAAAGGAGAGGTTTAACAAAGAGGGTTGACAGTTACTTTAACCTAGGTTTGGATGAGGTTGTCTGTTGTGAAGTGTTGTTTACTAAGTTCTGAAGAATAATGTTGCGCTTTAGGCTTGTGTGGATTTTATTATACCACAGATAAATGCCACCCGAATCAGTCTGTAACTAAAAGTAGAACTAAATAATGCATCTACATATAAAGGAGAATTTCAATTAATGCAAACATCTATGTTCATAATAAAATATATTAAATTGTTAAAAGCTACTGGGCAATGCTTTGATAATAATAGTGAAACATTTGTTCCTGAAGGCGTTCTACGTGTATACTCTTTGTATACTTGTAGATTAGAAATGACGATACACAGAAAATATACTTCAAATAGTCATTTACACCTCACATAACATACTAAAGGTCATACACGTAAAGCGTACGATAATACAGTGTTGTCTTGGCTCATCTCTGTTTGCTGTTGTTTGTATATGTAGTATGTAAAGAACAAATAGGATCATGGAGATGGACGATCAAAGTCGATCTAGTAAATAAACAATTGACTGCATATGCCACTATGCCAGGAGCCAGTTACTAGAAGTACGAAACATGAATGCAGTATGCACAGAATAATTAATGTGCGCAATGTTCACTACTTGCTGCATTGGTCTGGCTAATAATATCACCGTTAATTAAAGGCACGCGGTTAATGACAACGAATATCAAACAGCACTTGTACATACACATCAGTGTTTACCAACACAAAGAGAGTTACAGAATGATAATTATTTGTAACAAACTGTTTCTTCCTAGACCTGTCAGAATAAACACGCAAGTCATTTATAGAAATAGATAATTGAATGAGATACCATAGATAACAACGGATGTACTGAGAACATGCACGTCAGACTGAAGTCAAATTGATAAAAGTAATTAATTATAAGTAAGAAATTGTCACGTATGACGACACATACATTGTATAAATTGCGATGAAGCGTCGTTGTGAGAATGCAGAGTTTGGCAGGACTCTATTATCTCAAAAAGAAATACATATTCAATTTCTATTTTACATAAATCTTAGTTGTACTTAATACTAAGAACACTGTGGCCTAATTCCTAACTTTTCTCCATATTGTAGATGTGGTGATGCATTATTTTAGACCGGCCTACATCTAACGTTTTCTCTTCAGTATAGATTGATCGGCAAAATCTGTATTTTGTGAACCCATTTAGTTCGCGCGAAAGGTCGAACTTGTCATCTGACATGTAAGGTTTTGTTGGACAAACCTGCCATGAAATATGGTGATATGCGAATTGATCAGGCCTTTCTCTAGGGATACTCCCTTTCCTTTCCCATTCCGTTTCCTTGAAGTACTGTTCG